TGTAAATATGCATTGGACCGAGAAGTTATCCACGGTCCTATATGCTCATTTACAAAACTTTAGAAATGCTAAGCTAGATACATACTACCGTCACCTCTTTTTTAATGAGCATGAAGCAAGACTATTTATGGGTATATCTCCTATTGGTTAAAAAGAGATGATTGATGCATTTCTCAACAAAAAGGGTTGAAGTCCGATAGAATATGTGTGTACGTGGTATTTTGTGATTCTCACTTCTAAATTGTGAAATCCACTTTTGGTGAAAGACTATTATTGTTTAATTTACACAACTACTCTTAGGAATGTTATTTTTGTGTTTGTGGAACATTACAATGATAGAACATATTATTGTACCATGTAATAAGTATTTATATGCCTCCATATTGTAATATTTACCTTTCATGATATGAATGTTGTAGAATACTATCTTTTACATTGAAATTGTGACTGCAGGAACTTTATAAGTCACCATACGAACTGTAGGGTCGAAAAGTTAAAGTTTAATTGATTTCTTGTTTTAATAATGGGTTCAATCACTTACCACGAATCTATTACAATCACTCACTCTCGATTGCAGAGGAAGAGAAGATTAATTTGACTTTTCTTTTATTTAAAAGTGGATTCTTGATGACGAAAGGATGCTTCTCTCGATACTCAAATCGAGATTGCTTCTAGTAGGTTAAGATCAAAAAAGCTTCTAATGGCGGCTTAGATCACGAGAATGCAGAAACTGCTCTCTCTTCATGCGATAGCCAATAATCTTCAAGAGTCCCCCTCTTCATAGCCGCTCATGGCTATTTATAGAGTTCGTAGCACGTAACTGACGTACTAAAATTGTGGGTAGAGGGTGTAACTGCCTCCTCCAATTCAGCTCACGTTGGTTAATGGGACGTAAAGTGCTCCTGAAGTTTAGCCCACGTGGCTAACTAAGTCTTTAGATCTGTTACAGCTGAATCTTCTATGGACGATGAGCCTCGTTGTATGGTGAGGTTCGTTAGATTGGACGAGCCTTAATATACAACGAGGTTCGTCTTATGAGGTAAGCTTTGTAGTATAGCGAGCTTCTTCTGATGAACTTTGTCTTCACTGACTTCATATGACGAGCTTTGTCTTCACTGATGAGCTTTGTCATCACTAATGAGCTTCGTCTTCATTGACGCGCTTCAAATCTTGTTTCCAACGACAAGCTTTGTTGCTTGAGACGAGGTCCGTCATTGTAATGACCCTCTTCATGATTGTTATGAGCTTCAACGCTCCAATGCCAAATGATTAGCCGATGATCTATGAAGATCCGTGAGAGTGGAGGAGAGAGAGGCTTTTTGACTAGCTTCTCAATTCCTCCCACCTTTCTTTCATGTTGACCATGCCTATTTATAAGCTTAGGAGCATTATGGAGTGAGTTAACGGGCTTTAACTCCTCTTAAAATAAGGGAGTTAGTGATCATTAACTCCTATTTAAATGGGTTAGTTAATGATCATTAACTCTCCTTAAATGTAGCCTTTGGAAATGGTGACAGACAAGGTTCGTCAAATGTGCGAGGTTCGTCAATAATGGCAATGACGAACTTCATTTCTAATAAACTTCGTCTTCAATGATGAAATTCGTTTCTGTGTGAACTTCATTTCTGGACGACGTTCCTATTCCATGACGAAGTTCGTCTTTTGAGGGGTGATGTGTTGTTTGTCCTATTTAGCTGAGACAAACTTCATGAATTGAGGCTGAGGTTCGTCGTTGTGATGACCCTCATCGTGCTTGTAATGAGGTTCGACCATCCTTCGTTTCTTGGCATTTTTTAGTGCCTACAAGAACATGATAACTGATAAAAAATTTGAGAGGTAAGCAACCTACAATATACACGCATTGTATTGGATGACTATTGGTATGGTTTATTAAGGTATTTGGTTGTCATGCCACGAGTTTAATTTGGTGACCTTTTTACTTTTAGACTATGATGATTGTCAAAATTTCTGAGATTAGTAACCTGCAACATCTATTGATATTGTACTAGATGGCTAACAATGAGAATATTGACCAAATTCTGAGCCCTAAGCCATAATCAGTAGCCAGCAACTGGTTACTTGATGTTGTTGGTTGGTTGGTTGATTGGTTGGTGTTGTTGGTTGGTTGGTTGATGTTTCTTTGCATATTGTCTTCTAATCTTTGCCAAAATTGATGCTGATTACATGTGCTCGGGGTTGTTGGTTGGTGTTGTTGGTTGGTTGGTTGGTATTGTTGGATGGCTAGTGGGTGTTTCCTGGTTCATTGACTGGTTGGTGTTTCATAATTGGTGGTTAGTGTTGTTGGTTGGTTGGTTGATTGGTTGGTGTGTTGGATGGCTGCTGAGTGTTTCTCATGGTTGTTTTTCTTTACTATGTTGTTTCGATCTTGTTTAGCTCTATGTTGTTAGGTTTTTGGTTGCTATTTGTGCTCGTCGTCGAGCTCCCGTGGCTGTTTTTTGTTACTATGCTGATTCGAGCTTGTTTAGCTCTATGTTGTTAGGTTTTTTGTTGCTATTTGTGCCCGACGTCGAGCTCCATAGCTGTTTTTTGTTACTATGTTGATTCGAGCTTATTTAGCTCTATGTTGTTGAGTTTTGTGGTTGCTATTTGTGCTCGTCGTTGAGCTCCCGTGGCTACTTTTTGTTACTATGCTATTTCGAGCTTGTTTAGCTCTATGTTGTTGGGTTTTTTTGTTGCTATTTGTGCTCGTCATCAAGCTCCCGTGACTGTTTTTTATTACTATGCTGATTCGAGCTTGTTTAGCTCTATGTTGTTGGGTTTTTTGGTTGCTATTTGTGCTCGTCATCGAGCTCTCATGGCTGCTTTTTGTTACTATGATGTTTCGAGCTTGTTTAGCTCTATGTTGTTGGGTTTTTGGTTGCTATTTGTGCTCGTCGTCGAGCTCTCGTTGCTATTTTTTGTTACTATGGGGATTCAAGCTTGTTTAGCTCTATGTTGTTGGGTTTTTGGTTGCTATTTGTGCTCATCGTCGAGCCCCCATGTTGTTTAGCTCTATGTTGTTGGGTTTTTTGTTGCTATTTGTGCTCGTCGTCAAGCTCCCGTGTTGGTATTTTCGTGTTCATGCAGTTTTGTTTAGGCTATGATAACTGTCAAAATTTCTGAGATTAGCAACCTGTAATATCTATTGATATTACAATGGATGACTAACAATGATGATATTGACCAGATTTTGAGTCCTCAGCCATTAGGTACATGTTTGGTATTTACAGGTTTGATGCGATTTGCTATGGTATATACATATTTATGGCTAATTAGGTTGTTTATATGTTTTTTATAGGTTTCATAAGAATTTCTGGCTAATTCAGGTACGTATTTCATAAAATTATGAATAATCAGGGTATTACATGTCTCATTTATTTTTTCTTCGAAAACAGATCTCGTGTGATTTTTTTCATCTCAAACAGGTATATTTCAGGTCAAATCAGGTACACAGTTTATAGCAATTAAATCATGTTATTCTAGGTTTCGTATGATTTTTTAAGGCAAACAGATATTTATAATAAATTCAGTAATTTACTATTTGTTCATGTTACATTCGCACTTTTATTTTGTTAAGAATACTTCACATAACGATCACAAATAAAGTTGTCTTTAGTGGGGGGTAATCTTACCATGGTGACCATATACACTTTTCCTTACACACTTCAAAACCAAACAAACACAAGAAAAGTGGGAAATATCAAATCAATAAAAACTTTCCATTATTTTCCATACAAACCAAACATAAGAAAAGTCCATACATTGGTTTCCCACCTTATTTTATGTGCGAACCAAACCAAAACAATCTATTTCTTAGAAAAGTTTAGAAACTCAAAACTTGAGTTTCTTTACATGGAATTGCATTTCCCTATATCTAGGAAACGAACCAAACAGACCCTAACAATAAACTTTTGAAATCTTGAGCTAAGATGTTAATCTGACAAAAAAGCGCTCTACAAGTTTGTCAAATCCCATAAATTTCTTTTTAAAAAATGTATGAAACAAACAACCCTTTAGTTAAGCTCTTGCCTAGCAATTTATTTATTGATTGATTTTCCTATGAGATTCGTATTACCATGTGATATACACCAAGGCATAATCTCAAAGACAGTTTTGATGTATAGCATGAATCTGAAAGCAAAATCAATAAAGACAAGCTCATATCACCTTAAACTTTAACCTAGCTTTACTCTCCTAGACCTTGGGCTGATTTATGCCCACTTTTACTATTTTTATGAAACTTGGACTAATCTATCCTCAACTACACAAAAGATTCAATGAGGCCCTCACAGTGAACAAATATGGACCCCTCCAGATTTTTTGCTATATATATCCAAGAAAGTGGCTTGTCTCTATTTCCTACGAACCTGGGCCTGTTTGGTTCTTTTTTGTAAGACACCTAGAAGTTAGTTTTACCTAGGAAACCAACCGGCCAACTAGGATTGACAGCTGCAATAAATAACCATAAAATGGACAATTTTGGAGAGAATTAGACAGAACTCCTAGTGGTTATATCGCCCTCTTACTTGCCTAAACAAACAAGATAATTGCATAAAAACTGATGTCCCTGACAGCTACAGTAACTTCCTAACAAATACACCAACCCTGCCGTTTGGCTCGCGGTCCAACCGTGAGCCAAATAGCTTTTTCCCAAATACACCGAACCAAACAGGCCCTGATGATGTCACAAGGGTCATTATAGCATGGTCATAAAGAATCTTTAGAGCTGGCAAGAGATGGTTGAGTTAGGGACTGTCTCACTCTGCAGGCTTCATCAAGTTTTTCTTCATCATATCTAATGAACATGACAATAAATTCACACAAATGTACAAAACATTTGATAGAATACAGCAATTCTGAGTAAATAGTTGATCAGTGATAAGAATCCTTCTAATTTGCTACCTTCAAAATCATCTCAGCAATACACAAAAATGATTTGTAGCAAAATAGAAAAGGAAAAAAAAGGAAAAGCATGCATTCCTTAAAAAGAAACTATAATAGGCACATAATCTTCCGAGAAAATGTTGAGTTGAAGGCGGTACAAATAACACAAACACAACCTCACCAAAGAGCACCATTTGAAATGGCTACTCCTGATAAGAGTTTTTTTTTTTCATTTACTGATTAGATTACAATTATTAACAGCATGAGAACAAAGGCCACGGGGTAGACGCATTATTCACAAAACAACAGCTTACAGATCAGGGACTTATATCGACACACATTATACAACAACTCTATAAACTTTCACGAGCCATAAGATAACTATACTTCCACAGTCTCACAGTTGCTGTTCTTGATGATATTGTACTTACAGAGAGGGCATGTTGCACTAATGTGAAGCCATTTCTCAATGCAGCTTAGATGGAAATGGTGGTTGCAGGGAAGTTCGCGTAGCTCAACACCGTCGTCATAAGAAGAGATGCAGATACAACATTCCTGCATGTACAAGAAAACACCGTATCAGATGAGGAAAATCAAAATCAGTAGCACAATTTATAAAACAGTAGACAACTATGAGTTTAGGGTTAGTTGCTAATAAACCCCTTGTATGGCAATGGTTCAAGTGAGGGCTTAAGGAGAGTTAACCTCTCATGAACCCGTCAAACACAGAAAATTTACACAGGGTATAAACTGAGTAACCCTTCTTAATTTATCATACATAAAAAAGTAGAAGATAAGAAGAGGGTTAAGATAAAGTTTCTAGACGGGTTAAAATGAGTTAATTCCTCAAACTGAGGTGTTTACTAATCTAGCTCCTTAGACAAAGAGATAATCCTTTTGTTTATAAAGAAAGTAGTTGCAATTCCCAATATTCCCAAACACTAAAAAGTATTACATGGATTAAAATAAATTTTACCTATAGATCAACTAATCTAGTCCTTGAGCAAAGTAGATTAACCCTTATCCGTAATCTTTGACCTTTGCCAAACTGGACTTGAGGGTACTTGTATCCTCTAAACTATTTTATGAGCACTTGCACCCCCTGAACTCCAACAATACCATTCCTTCTGATATATTGAGATGGCATGTGGGAATCATATGACTATAAATTCTCTTTTCCTTCCAGGTTAACTTGAAAAAAATGACTAACTAGCCCTTTAAGCGGAAGACAAAAAGAATAAGGCCGACTGAGTTTTAGGAGTAAGTGACAATAAAATAGTTTATGGGAACAATGGCCCAGTGGGTATATATCTGCAGTTAACCCTAAAATTCACCGATATGTAGTCATTTTTTGAAAAACAATCTTGGCATTCTAGGTTGAAGATTCTGCAAACTTATGGAGACAGCCAACTTTTAAACTGAATAAAATAATAGACGAAACTGGATAAGCAGTCTAGAGAACTTGGTCAACAGTATTGCAGATACTCATATAATGTCATAATATGTGGTGACCATACTTAACAATCAATAAAAGAAGCCTAAAGCTAATTTCATTCTCATATATTACTCAATAAGCACTTATCATTTAGACAATTCAGTTTTGATTCTATGGCCTACCTCCTCGATTCACAACATGATGAATGATTGGTCCTAAATAACGAAATGATCATACAAGGAATGCCTTGACCATTAATTTCCAATATACATTATTTCTGGCTAAATTACCAAGTTGGCATTTTTATTAAGAACCTGTTTCCAAATATGGTATTTTTTCGTTCACCGTCGATATTGTAGCATTAGTATCAAAATAAATATCAATCTGGTCATTTTTTCTGTATTAAAAAAATACGACTATGGTTATTTATCCTACATATAACGATACCAAATTGACGTAAAATGTTGATATTAATACCATAATGTCATAAGTGAAAGAAAAAAAAACATATATGAAACAGGGTCCTACTAAATATACCAATCTGATAATTTAGCCCATTATATCTTGATACTGTATATCTAAAGACTCCATAGATTTTATGTTCTGCTACTTCTGAAACCTCTGGAGTAACAAATCCATCTCTCCACTTTCAACTTTAGAAATTACAGTTTCTCCATTTTCATCAACTCACATTAGATCATCAATAAATGGCATGCCTCCGAGGACTTCCTCTTAAATATGCCTTGTAAAATCATCCATAACTAATGGTATAGACTCATGTTATATTAAAGGTTTCACGCTCCCGAAACATCACAACAGAGGTTTTGAAGGATTATAATCTAATATTTGATGCATTTAGTTTGCCAACCATAAAAGGAAAGTGGGAATAATTACAAGGAGAACTAGGGTACGAGGACAACTTTTACTGCCATCAAATAATGTTAGACTACTACTACTCCTGATGGTCTACACATTGGCACGGAAAGATAATGATATGATGACTTTGCAATATGAAAAGATTGACATCCAACACCATTCAAGCATGTGTAGTGTATATAATAGAATAGTCTGGTATGCAACATGCTACGGAATTTCTATAAACACATTAAGAACTAAGAAACCATGGCAATTTAGAGAGAGTTGAGACCGAGAAGGTTAGATATAATCAATCATGCAAAAATAAATAGGTGGAATGCTTAACAGCGGTTTCTACGTTGCTTCTATCACAATGCTCAGGCAGCTACTATAAGTTCACAACTATTATACCCCAAATAGTTTATATGCCACATCAGTGTCCATGTGTCTTCAGATGACCTACACACAAGCAGAGACGAGGGATCTGCAAGTCACCCTCCCCTTCTCAACCAGGGATCGTGAGTTATACTCTACATAAAGAGCTCGGCAGGCTTCAGTCTCAAACACCGAGCACTGCACCCCCAAAAAGCGGGTTCCCCATCATAGAACCATAAACCGAACAGGAGAATCTCCCACTACACATGTGCCTGACATCTTTGCCTCATCCCGTTTTGGAAACAAAGGACAACAGTCCAAGCATAGATCGCCTTACTCCAAACAATCCGATGGCAACACTTGTCCCTTTCTCTCCCTCTTTTTAATCACAATCGTATACCTTTACATATAAAGCAATGAATAGTGGTAAACGTTTCCTAACCTAAAGTTTGCTAGGGTTTCTGCCGCATTTATTATTCTTTACTATTTTAGAGAGATTCTAACATACGCGTCGGAGGGCGTACCGGAGTCCCCAACCCCGGGAATCATTCCAGCACCACCTAACTAGTTGTCAGGCACAGGTTAGGATGAAGATTAAGGATTCCAACCATTAACGGATTCACCAGAGACTCAAGTTTCCCTTATTCATCCCCCTTAACTGAAAGGATAATATGAGAAATGTTACTGCCTTGCGACAACAAGGATCTTCTAGATAGATGTAACCAAGATGCCAAACTTTTGTCATGCAACTTGAAATGGGTACAGCCATACAGGTACCATAAGCATACTAGACATTTGCTTCCAGCATGCGAAAAGGAAAACAGTATATTTGTTATAGAATGTTTACTAGATTGCTTATAGAATTAGATAACGATCATGCTATTTGGAGAAATTTCACATTCAATGAACATAACCTAGATAGTTGAAAGTCAATTTCTAGTTAATCCTGTTATTTGGTCAACTTCCCCTGTAACGCTAGCTTAGTCATTAATTAACAGAAGCGAGAAGCCTCGTTTTCGTATTCCTTTTGAAATCTTTGTACGTGTGGATCATTCTGAATCATAAAAACTATAAACATGATTTGACACTCGCTTGGTTTGCCTACTTTCAGGCGTTATCCTCATAATAGTGAGAAAAGAGCTTTCGAAGAAAAGAGAAGGCTGTGCAATTACAAGCTCTCATCACAATGAAATGCACGAGGTAAAATGACATTTTTTAATGAATTCTTATTTACATATATTAGTATATAACCTAGATGAAAATCACTGTTATAAATAGCGGTAAATAGCCCCGCAATAGCGGCGCTAATAGCATTAGCGGTCCCTTCCCACGACGCTATCGCCCGCTACGCTATTGAGCAATAGCGGTGACATATTACGAAATATGTCTGTTCGTAAAAACGGCTAATAGTGTGTCATAACGGTAAATAGTGAACGGTTGTATTCGAAATTTACTTTTTGACTGTTATTTAAAAGCGGTTTGAGGCTTACTTTTTTAAAATTAAACTCAACCCTTGACCATTGCATTTCACCGTCTCCTATGATTTTCAACATATTTCCGCCACCTCTCATAGCCTCTGGCACCTACCTTGATACTTCCTCTCATCTCCTTCACCGTGAGCTCCTCTTAGGGTAGTCTTGTCACCGCTAAGCTCTTCTTCTCGAAGAGGACGGCTTTTTGACTCCTCCAGTCATTTCGGTATTACGTGATGATTACATGTCTATTTCATGTTTAGGATCTCTTTAAATCATCCAATATGTACTTCTATTTCATGTTTAGGATCTCTTTAAATCATCCAATATGTACTTTTAGATTTCTTAGATTTTTCTTTAAATTTTTTTTTAGTATTTATACATATCTAAATTAGACCGCTATTTGACTTTGCGCTTTTTACCGTTATTTTACCGCAATAGCTTGAAATAGCCTTAGCGATGCCTCACCGTTATGCGAAGCTATCCGCTATCGATAACCTTGATGAAAATGACACTTGCAATCAAAGAAATGTGCATGTTGTGAAAAACTAACAAGGAAAGTTTAGTGCTAATTCGAGAAAATTTTATACATATATCCAAGAACGAAAATTTAAAAACAAAACAAAACAAAACAAAAAGATCCTGAATAAATTTGTGAAAGTTAGGGTACAGGGGCACAGCTGAAACGCATGCGTTGAAATCATAGCTCCGAGCTAGATACTCAAATGACCCTTTGAAATCATAATTTTTAACTGAATATGTGTTCAGACGAACTCGGGCCTTGCTTTACAAGATTGAAAAGTGAATGTAAAGTGTAGGATATATGTCCAAGAAGTATACGACGAGTATTAAATTTAAACAAGCAACGTGTAACTGAGTACATGTTTGAATAAATGTATGCATGTATTTCAGGAGTGTCCAAGAAGTGTCGCATATGGATAACGACAAGTCAGGTACATTAACAGCTTCATGATAGAAGTACTCATGCTACATAGGAACTGACTAGTGGAGATTATTAGATTAGTATTATCTCTGGAATATTCTATCCAGAGACATTTTTATATATGTCATATTTATTGTGTGTGCATGCATAATTTTAGTGTGTTGTGTAGAGAAGAAATTATTTAGACATGGTGTATAGTTTAGCAAAACCATAATTATAACTAAAACATGGACCAAGTTGCCATTTAATACAAAAAGTTTTTTGGATAGAGGATAGCATATTAAGAGCATGTAACTAGTAAATTTTTTGCCTTATTCCAATATCCACTAGGTGGTTGGGTTCGAAAATTTTGTACTCCAATAACATTTTCTGATTTGTTGGTAAACATTTTGAACATCCATCTGAATATTAAATAGACTTCGGGTGTCGGCTTTTACAAACTAGGAGCTGCTTGAGACATGCATATTGGGAGCATCTGCATGTAATTATTGGTTTTGAGGAGGGAGCAACACAGGATCACAGTTCTCTAGGATTAAGTTTCGGAGGATTAGAAGTGAAAATTGAAAGCGTGTACCTAAGTAATATTGCTAAATACCTATCAGCTGTTATTTAAGCCTTTAAGGAATCAATTAAAAACCTCTATGGTATATAGTTAGATAAACATTTTTCTGATACAAGCATGAAAATTGGGTATCTATTGCTTTGGTTATGGATAATTGGTATAAATGGAGAAGACACGGTTAACAAATGACCAGTAATATCTGAGCTTGGATATATCCAAGATTAACTGGCGGCACTGCTCAGCCAAAACCAGCCTGATTTCATAATCGAACAAAAATATATAGGTCCAAAGCCCACTAAAATTGCAGGGGGGCTAGTTTGAGCCCACTCAGTTTCTGGCTGCTTGCCTGCCCAGCTCATCAGCATTATATAGACACTGGAACACATGCAAGTATCCTCCCAAAATTTTGAAACAAGGATGTGGTTATATTTTATGCTTGTTGGCTGACAGATTCTACAAAGAAATATGAGCTCGCGAAGTTAACTCTTAGTTTGGACAAAAAATTTTAAGGATTCTTACTCGACATTTTTATTACTCTAGAACTGAGAACTTTTATGAGGTTTCGACAGGAATGTGGAAAGGTGTGATCTTGGTAAGATGATTGATATGTCATTAAAATATGCTAAGTGTTCTCAAGGTCAAATGTACACGTTCCAAGTGGTTGGTACTTGGTGCATTAGAAAACTGATATATGAGATGACAAGTGTAATGTTGCTTGAAAGCTCAGTTATTATCTTCCATTAGCTCAGGGGGAGTTTAAAATTATGAATAACAACTATGATCTATGATATTGCCTACTTCTATGCACAAATTCACTCAGTTAATAGTAAAGAGCCACAGATCAAGATAAAAAGTTGCAGAAATTAAGGTTCCACTCAATTACAGTTATTAAAGTCTCTGTCAGTAATTAAAGAGTCAAACCACAGAGCTTACAGCATCCTCCAGTCGAACAACATGCTCAATGGGTGGATTACTCCCACATTCTGTCATTATTCCACCACAAGGTCCTGATATCTCATTGGCAGACCTCTCAGGATATCCCACCCTCCGGAATTTGTACTTTGGAAGTTGATGGATGTCTTCTTCAGATGCTCCTTCCTGCTTTAGGAAGTGAATTTAATACAGAAATTTTATTTATGCCAATATATCTTTCAATCTCTTATCCAAAACGTGCCACTGTCTTCGTGCCATGAATTTGAAAAAAAAAGCCATGGGAAAATAACAAAAACATAAAAATAATTTTCAACAGCTAGCATAAAATGAGGAATTTAGGTGACTGACCTGCTCTACAACAGCATATAGAATAGCTATTATACACGGTAGACAGCAGCAGACAGCGACTCCAACGATGCACGCCAAAAGAACACAAAACAACACAAAGAAGACATCAAATGCCAGAAAAACTATACAAAGCCTGCAAACAAGGCAAAAAAATGGTAAGAAAAATTAGGAGAAGAAAAAAATTAACTGATCAAAACAAGCTATTTACTAGGTATCTAGTATGAGCAAAACCAGTAAAGCTGAGGTGCATCATGGGTTAAAGTTTGGCCTCCAGCAGATACCCAGTAGAATCCAACTATCCACCATATGAATGAAGACATTGTGTTCGCAGACTCCAAATGTTTTGCAATACTGCAGTAAATAATGGTCTATGAGATTAAAAAAAAACTCTTAAAATGAATGAAAACTTAGAATAGAAAAATGTGCATCTATAAATACCACCAAATTAAAAGGTTCAAACATAAAATTTTGATAAATTTTTCAATAAAGTGATAAATAATAGTCAGAAGATCTGTAAGAGAGACATGCACGTGTTACTCCACAGATAAATCCAAAACTCCTACTGATATAGAGCAACTTGCTAATATGAATTCAAGACTTGTTTAACAAAATAAAAATAAATATAAAAAATTTCAAATAATATTTGTAAAATGCATAAGATAATAAATACTACCTTAAAATGAACATATTTAATTGTTTGTCCAAAAACGTCTTTTTAGTTGTTTTAGATGTAAAATTAAACAATAGTTCTAGCAAATTAATTATGCAGATACATGGACAACTCTTTTGGAATAAAGCATTAGATGGTTGCTGATAGGTCTAATATAGAATTAGGCTGGCATCAGGTCTTGTTGGACTTAGCTTTCGCATGATGATATTTGAACTGGAAATGCCATCTGGACCAAATTGACAAATATTACATTGTTAAGAGTCAGTTTTTGGTCAGTAACTATTGTTCTTTCATCTTGATATATATTGTGTTTGATTCAGGTATTGGACAAAATTAAATTCCCTCCAACCTGAGGTTTACTAGCTCTGTATTAATCTCAGTTTCAGGTCAGGTTTTGAAGAGATATCTTAAACACATGATTATTACAAATTTCACCAAATGATTGCTAGTAGCTATAAACTAGTACATTGAAGGAATTACCTATATCTCTGTTTTACATAATTATTTGCATGGGTAGCCTATACTGAAAGTTTTTCTTTAAAACCAACAGGATAGACGTACACAAAAGTGTAACCTTCTGTAATCAGCAAACAATGAATAACCGCAAAGCTACAAAACTGCAAAAAGTCTGAAGAATGAAAATAACCAAGCAACACAATGCACCTTGTCTTATCCATCTTACCTTCCAACCATTAGATTAGAGAGGTTTGACGGAAAAGTTACAGGCTCGGGATAAAAGAATGATAAAAAAAAGGGTGAAAACGAGATAAGTTTTGCTGTGATAGCTGGTTTACTTCTCAGAATGCAACAATTCTCCTATCAAGTTGTTACTCGACGTTTTCATTTAAGACTCACAAGATACGGATCTTGGAACACGAGGAAAGGTTTAAGTTGAAACAGTACTGAATTGAAAAGCAATGAAATGGAAAAGGATTAATATAATAACTTTTGGGCCGACATTTGATCCAAGACTTCTTAGACAACAACAACAACCAAGCCTTTATCCTGAATGTTTGGGGTCGGCTATAGGAATCCTATTCTTTCATTCCATTCTGTTATGGGTCATCTCCTCCGTTAACCAAGACTTCTTATATATTGCTTCATAACTAGACCTCACACTTACCTCACTGTCAAGTGTAAGAACATAATCTTTCGATCAATAGAATCTTCAAAAGCCAAACCATATATAATGGCCAAAAAGAAAAGATCAGAACTAGAACTGGAATTGTGACAGTAACAGCTTTCGGTTACTTTCTTCCTTGCGGAGACCAGACACGTTAGACACATTACCAGCACTTATTTGTATCCAACACTACACAAAGGAATCTTTATCAATATCTACCAAACCACCAAACAGAATAAAAAAAATCCCCCCATACTTCCCATAAAAACACACGTCTCATGCACACATGCATGAAAAGAGATCGCTATCAAGAGACATTCCCATTTCAAAATTATACCAGCATGTAACCAAGATGAAATTTGCAGACTAGACTAATACTCCTCGATGCATGCATTCCAAACACTTAAATGTTAACCACCACCAGGGCATTACAAACTTTACTTATACTAAATTAAGCACCCGCCCAGGTGAAATTTAAAAGCAAAGTTCAATTTTACTTGCCAAATTAAGCAGATCAGAACTGCTCAGTCGCAGACGATCAAAGAACACTCGGCAAGAACTAATATTTACCTCGTACTCTCCTCATCCTCTCGACCACGCTCCCCGATCTCAACATCCCTCGCCGAACTCAACGAAGAACCCCCGCTCCTCTGCTCAAGGGACACGCAAACCACGTGCACCACGCACTGCACCGCGTACCCGACCACCCAAA